GAGACAATTGAGCGATGCTTGGCACTAAGGGGAGGAGGCATGAATCTTCAATAATGGACCGGGGAACCAAAAAATGTGGGCTGTGGGACCTCATCGCAAGCTTTCTTCAGTGCTTCCTCAGGAATTGGAGAGCCAATTTGATCGAAGCAAACACTGACCCTCCGAAGCCACTTCCTGCCTTGGCAGTAGTGCCAAACCTGCGATCAATTTGCCGTGAAAAAGCTGAAGTCAAGCGGTTGAATCGAAGTAAAGACACTCCTGTTTCGGGTTCTCCTTCTCATCTAAGAGACAAACTCATACAGGCGACACAAGCATTGGCAAGAAAGCACGGATCTGAGGCACGTCACACCAAAGGAAACGGACACCTGCCCGAAAAGCTCGCGCATCCGAAGTCAGCAAACAATTGAGCTGCTTTCCCACCCACTGTTGAAACAAACGCGATGTCATCGAAGGAGGCTTACCCAGGACAGGGCAGCAGGAAATGAACCAGAGACTTGCAGCTCTTGTGATGTGATACGGAAATACTGCAGGTAAAACCAACAACCGCCTCTGGTTGTGGTGTACGCAATCGTTGCAAGGACCCCGCTTCTAGAAACTAAAGGCAAGTTTTACAAAACGGAAAGCTTACTGCCACAAGCAAGTGACCCGCCAGGCTCCCGTGACAAATGCGCAACGCCATCTGTCACATGCATCTAATGAGTCCAACGCACTCACGCACGCCTTCTGCACACAACACATTCTTTACGGGATTGATCTCAAGGTCACCGAACACAGGCATACGCACGCACATGCACCCGCGCACACTCACACATACACATACATACACATACACACATACACACACACACACACACACACACACACGCACACACACACACACACACACACACACACACACACCGCGCACGCACGCACGCACGCACGCACACGCACGCACGCCGCACGCACGCCACGCGCGCGCGCGCACGCACTCCCGCGCACGCACGCACGCACGCACGCACGCACGCACGCACGCACGCACGCACGCACGCACGCACGCACGCACGCACGCACGCACGCACGCACGCACCCACACACACACACACACATACACATCAACTCCCAAAGGAGTAAGACACAGTTCGAGTGATGAAATATAAAATCCCAATGTAGCAAGGCTAGAACATCACCTAAGATTGAACAGGGGTGAAGCGCACACAGCTTCGCGGGAAACCTAGCCTTGCAATTTGTTTAGCGTTTGCAAGTACACAAGGCTGATCAAGCCTTGCTCACTCGCCCACAGCTTCGTTGCGTGTGGTAGGACGAGAGCCTGTTGCAAACAAGTTGGTTCCAGGGTTCCTCTGCAGCACGGCACACACACACACACTCAAAGTCTGGCGCTGCAGAAACAACCATCTGTACCAAGTCTTACTTCTCACAAAAAAATAACACCAGGAAACGCCATGCGATGAGCTCGCCACGTCGGGCCAAAATGCTTGCCTGCAGCCACTGCGGGTACGTGCTGGAGCCAGAAACCTCCAGCTCGCCTGGCCGGGTTCGGCCGCCAAAAACCCGGGGAAAAACGGGTCGCGGCGAGGTGCGCGGACAGGTCATGCGGAAAAGGGAGCGAACTCGCCGGCAAAAACGGAGAAAACACGGTGCCGTTAAACATGTGGGTGTGGCTCAAAATTAAACCGGAGGGGCAAACCGCAGGTTTGGTCCATGTTTCCACTTACCAGGGTTCCATTAACCCCGGATAAAGTTAAACCCATGGTTGATTTTGATTGGGGGGTGTCCCCTTTTAGTGTTCAGACCACTTTCGGAGGGAACGGCCCCCTAAGAAGGGGACGGGTTTACTAATCCTGGGTCAACATAAGGGAGCAAGAAAGCGGTGCCGTGGCTTCTGCTTAGATGCTAGAGATGGAGGGCAAAAAGGGCGTGGATGATCAGAACGAAATCAAGCGGGGCTTGCCGGGCTCAACGGGACTCCCAGGGAGAAAGAAAGGCTAGAGTGGACACACAGAGGTCTAAGAAGGTCTGTCAGCTAGCAGTTAAAAAAAGAGGTAATCCTGCACCGTCTTTGATTGCTGAAAGGTTTTGGTTATGGCAATCAGCAACGTAAACCATGGCATGGGATGACTTCCACAGAGCTGTGCAATTGTTGGGCTGCTGAGCTTGTCCTCACTGCACACAGTAATACAATCTATGCACATCTAACAGGTCCACGGCTCAGCCTCTCTGGCCATCTCGATCGAATGGCTCCAGGAGAGCCGCCCCGATTCGGCACATTTGGAGGTCACGCGCAGAGAGACCAAGCCAAAAGACCAGCGGAGGGCACCGAAGGCCTGAGAGGTCTTTGGAGCAAGGAGCCCAGGAATCCTTTGCTCCCAGAGTGCTTCTGATCCCCAAAAACGCCGGTGCTTGGAGTGTATCAACCGACCGGATAGCCGGATAGCCTCCACCCACCCAACCCGCCGACCCGCCGACCCGCCGACCCGCCGACCCGCCGACCCGCCGACACGCCCGACCCACCTGCGCCGGCGTGCACTGCGAGCTCCCGCAGCTGCGGCACGCGCGGCACTGGCAGGCATTCCAGCCTGGCCGCCGCTTTGGGACTCGTCTGGCCATGTGAGCCAGGCCAGGGTAAACCTAACCTGGTGTCCAACAAGAAAGCATGGCCTCCAAAATTGACACACCATGTGAGCCAGTTCTGCTGGAAGTGGGGAATTGAATCTGTCCCCAAACTAGTGGCGGGTGATAAGGCAACAGCTTTAACACATGAGTGACTGAATGAGTGAAATCACGCGAAATCATTGTCATGCCGATTTAACCTACATAGAAGGCACTCTCCACTAAGCGCAGTTCAACAATTGTGCTACTTGAAGGTTCCAGCACTTTTCGCGCGCATGGCAAGCGCTATATAAACAAGCAACTTCACCATGCGGACTGCAAGAATGATGCAGTTTTCTGCGGATCCTGATCCACCATGTCGCTTAGTCCTCCACAAGCGATCTGCTCTGGCTGGGTGTGGCAAGAATTTGCAGCGGCTGACTTTGCCAGACGGGGTGCATCCAAGAAGTCTGGCGTCGCTTCCATTGCACAAGACTCCTCGCTGAGCTTAGTGAATCGACATGGCAGTGTCGCAGCGTCACACAAGCTCCACTTGTAAAATGTTGTAGATACTGCTGCGCCGTCGGATCTGAGCAGAATTGTGTGGTATCGTCCAGCGGCCACCATGGGATGATGGTACGTCAATCCCAAACCAGCCCTACAAAAGTTGTTCAAGCCACCACACGAGCACTTCTGAACTATGTACATCGGTCATACTCTTCACGAATTGTATCATGCTCGTTGCTTTCTCTCCTGTGGTTCTGGTTGTCCCTCTGCTCTGCAGCTGGGATAACATGCATTCCGTGTCGGGCACGGTCAAACATTGAATCAATGTCCAAAGCCTGTGCGATATGGGTGTAAGGATCCAACTTGGAAATTTGCCCTCTGCAAAATGCAGCCGCGAAGAGCGCGAGAGAGAGAGAGAGAGAAAGAAAATGGGAAAGAGAGAGAAACAGAGAAAGAAAGAAAGAAAGAAAGAAAGAAAGAACGAAGGAAAGGAAAGGAAAGGAAACAAAAGGAAAGGAAATGAGGAAGGAAGGAAGGAAGGAAGGAAGGAAGGAAGGAAAGAGCGAAAGAGCGAAAGAGCGAAAGAGCGAAAGGGAGGCAGGGAGTGAGGGAGGTGGGCAGAGAGGGAGGGACATTGAACATCTTCGCTATCAACATTGCCATTGTGATCAAGTGTAGGTGCGTATGAAGAGTATTTGTATAGATATGAGCATGTCATATGTGCACCGGGCTACTTCCGTGTATATATATATATATATATGTAGGTGAATATATATATATACACACATACACACACCATGTACAAGACACATGTTGCAAATGTTTGCCCCAGTGGGCTTATTCAGGCCCAACTCGATTGCCACTCACCATGCGCCTGGGGCCCGGCACCCGGGGCCCGGCACCCGGCACGGCATGAAGTCAAGGGCACAAGGCACAAGGCACAGGCAGACGCACAGGACGCTACGGGCTATGGCGAGCTGTCAGCGGGGAGCTGATTCCACGCGGTACCAAAATAAAAATCGTGATTCGGAGGATTCGGAGCCGGCGAAGAAGTGGTCTTTTTCTTGATTGAACCCCCCTGCATTCGATATGAGTGCCTCTCACAATCCTTCCCCTGCGCACTCGGGAGCTCTGACAACTCGAATGCCCATCTCTACCCTGGCACTGTTGAAAAACCCCAACACGCCCCGTTCCTACCAGCCAGGGAAAAGTTCGCCCCAGAGCAGAGCACTCAGAGCACTCCGGGACTCCCAGAGCAACCCGGCCTTCGCACTCCCCGCGACAAAAAATGGGGGAACAACTCGGGCGGCATCCACCAAAAAGGGCGCGGAATACGGGGCTTTTGCGGCACCCTCAGAAGAGACACACCACAACTATCTGGGAAACATATATATTTCTACATACATACATATTTAATATAACACAGTTGTATATATACATATATATATATATATATATTACATATATACATACATACATATTTCTATATATATATATATTTTGCGCTCGGGATCCCTCGCCTGGTACCCAGGCCCTGCGGCAGCACTAGGCGCTCGAGGCCCGAAAAGGCCAGCCTGCGTCTCTCGCTTCTTTTCGCTTCGGCGGAAAACCGGCTGAAGCTGTCTGGTGGTCTACTTGGTAACCGGCTGAAGCTTGGCTGGTGCTCAGAAACATGTAAAATGGCAGCTTGGTAAAGGGAAAAGACTAAAACCGCTTCACCCTAGCTCTTAAATTTTGAGCCACACACCCTTCGGGTTTGGGCGGTTGGAAAATGGCAGTCCGTGTCAAGAAGCATGCGACCCCAAAGGTTCAAGCCGACGAGCTTGCGCTTGAAGAAGCGCAAAAAAACAGCGCGGAAGGCAACACGTATTGCCTAACTTGGCACCCGGTTGATCATATTGACCTTGGCGGTTTTACCGCGGGACATGTCATGGCTCCTTGGTTCACAGTCCCATGAAAGCAAAGCACGACATCTCAAAATCTGCTGTCAGAGATGCGACGATGAACAACTAAGCTGGCATCACGACAATCACGGTCTTTGATTCCAAGCCCTTGACTCGGCTCAACTCATCCGACTCTCGCCTTGGACCCCCGTCTAGCAGCTCATGAAAACCTACCTGGGATGCCGAGAGAGAACGACATGTGGGTTGCTTGCCTGGCCATTGGCCACTGCACAAGGTCATTGTTCGAAAACCAGCCGGTCCTGAAGAAACAAAGCAAGGGTTGCTGCTGCTGCTGCTGCTGCTGCTGCTGCTGCTGCTGCTGCTGCTGCTGCTGCTGGTGGCCGTGGTGGTGCTGGTGGCCGTGGTGGTGCTGGTGGCCGTGGTGGTGGTGGTGGTGGTGGTGGTGGTGGTGGTGGTGGTGGTGGTGGTGGTGGTGGTGGTGGTGGTGGTGGTGGTGGCGGTGACGTCGTCTTCGTCATTGCTACCGCCGCTGCCGCTGTCGAAAGACGGAAGCAAGGTCTGAAGCGATAGAGTGATGGACAAAGCGAGTCCAGATTGCACCTTGGATGCGTTTTGGTGGCACGGGTCTGTGCGAACAATGTGCGCCCACGCCCGCTGCGCAGGGTGAATCGTGACACAACTTATTATCAGGCATGCTTATTTCTATAAGTTAACCCACTCGCAATAGGATTCAATAAGATCTGTTCTGAGACATCCGTACTGGAAGGTGCAGACATCGCACAATCTGCATCGGCAAAACAATCCTATTGGGCATCAAACAACTTATGCCCAGAATAGAACTCCATGTGGGGACGTCACCATCCGCAACATCACCAACAATGCATCGTGTAGCCTCATCAGCAGCGCAAGTGTGCGCTGGATGGGCTTCCGTATGTTGATTTCGGGCGAGGCCAAGTTCAGCTGGGCTTACGGCAGAAGGTGGGAGTGCTGATGATGGCAGGGTTGGCTCAGGGCTGGTTAGCATCGGTTTGATTCAGGACAGGGTGCCTTCAGGGCGTAATTGTGTGTGTGTGTGAGGTTGGTTTGGGCTTGTCGGCTTAGGATAGTTGAGGGTGTTTAGGATTGGGTCGGGTAGGGTGGTTGCTGTTGGTTTAGGGGCGGGTTTAGGGCGGCTTGACGAAAGGTGCTAGATTGTGCTGAGGTGGAGTTAAAGTAGGGATGGCAATACGTTAGGGGGTTTCAGGTGCAGGGACGGGATTGGAATCCTGACTTTGGATCGGCTATGGGCTGGATAAAGGCTTAAGTTTAGCGACGTCCGCTCTAAGCGGGGTGCTCGTTGCGCTGGTGATTGCGTGGATGAAAGCACACCACAACACCAATCAAGTTTTCTTGTTTGGCCCTTGCAGTACTTCTCCCAAAGCGGAACTCCCAGCTGTTGAAGCTTTTGCGGGCCCACCGTGGACACTTGCAGTCTTACGGGTATACACTCATCTAGAAGGCGGTTGCAAATTTGGCTCTGTCTTTTTTCGGAGACCTCCCCCCCAAAAAAATAGACAAGACCTCGTGGTGTCCTTTTGGCGCCTTTTTTCAAAGACCGCCCCATTCCCGGGGGAACTAGGCGAAGCAACCGAGAAGAGGACGAGCCACAGTCCCCCGAGCCCATCCCCCGCTCCAGGGCGCCGCGTCCAAGCACAGGATGCGCACGGAGCCCGGCGCCAGCTGGGATCCGAGGACGCGAGGGACGCGCGGCGGCAGGCGGCCGGGGCGCCGTTCTCCCCGGCGAAACCAAAGGCCGAAAAGGAAACCAAAGGAAAACCAAGACGAAAAAATAAGAGGTAAAACCCAAAGGCGGCCTTTTTGGAGGCTGCCGCCCTTTTCTTGCTGCGATGGGATGTGAAATGGAATGAACCCAGGCTGTGGTCTTAAGGGAAACCACCAGTTGGATGGTTTACGTTACAAGGGTCATTCCGTTTCTCATTCCCTGCCTCCCACACCAGCAAGCCTTTCCCTTTGTTTTTGCAGGGAAACCGAAAGGAAAAACCGTTTAAGCCAATTGTGGGGGTCCCCCAAGAAAAGACGCACAAAGCCATTGGATGTCTCTTTCTGGAAGACTACCATAGGAAACTACAAGAGATGTCCATCTCTTTGGGGGTGCGCTTTGAGACCGACCTTCTTTGAACCCAAAGTGGGGTGAAACAACGCCCCCTGACTTGCCTCCAACTGTTCTCAAGAGGAAGTTCCACAAGCGGTAAAGGAAAGCGTTCAGTCACGATGACTTGGTCATGTTCATGTTCCTTTTCGGCAACGCCATAGGGAGTGATTAGTGCAAGGGTAAACGTGTCCCGTGGGTGTGCAACTCTACAGCAATCTTGGCCTCTAGCAACCGTTCAGCCGCACGACTATAACCTGAAGGGCCATTGGAATACCTCCGTTCAAAAACGAGAAAAACCATGCTCTTGTCCCACCAGGCTGCGAAATGCCCAGAAAGAAATGTGTTAATGTTTGGGAGATCCACACCACCACACAAGGACATCTAGGAAGGGGGGGGGGGTGGGGGCAATGCCTTTTGGGCCCCTCTCCCCGTCCCGTCGGGAGCTTTTGGGGCCCCGACGGAGCTGAGGAACCGCTGCAGCGGCTCCTTCTCCTCTGGGCAGCGGTCCAGGCACGGCATCAGCCGCTGGCCTCGCGCTCGAAAAAATCACATAGCCAGGCGAGGAACTTTGATAGGGAACCACATGAGCCACAATCAAAATTCGGGTAGATGAAGGTTGGTAAGGGGCTGTGCTGTTTTTAGTTTCGCTAGTGCCGAGGTCATAGGTGCCAAGGTCATAGGTGATAGGGAACCACGTGAAACGTGAGAAGGTGGACCTGAACCCCCAAATGATGAACTTTAAGACTGTGGATGGACGCGAAATCCATTTCGCACCACCTAAGAAACCATGGGTGAAACCGCGGTTTGTTGATATTTGCAGGGGAATCGAGTCAATCCAGGGCTCCTTAAGTGGTGCGAAATGGACTTCGTCCATCCACAATAGGGAACCATATGAAACGTTGGTGGACATGAGCCCCTCAAATGATGTCCACCAAAGGGCCCCTCAACTTAAACTCGTGCCCATACTGGTTTGGTTTGGTGGTATGGATTTTAGGTATCCATTTGGTGTCAAAAGGAAGGGATCGAATCTTTGTTTGTCAGACTTTGGAATCTGCGATTGCTTCTCAAGAATGTGTTGCAACACCATCGCTTATGGTCATTGTGGCAGGCAGATTGTGAAGTGGCTGTATTATGAATAGCAAATCTTGTGGGGAGGCAACGCCAAGTATATGAGGCAGGCCCAACTCAGTTTGTCTCTTGTAAAACTGACAGCTTACAGTCTTGCCAATGTAGCAAATATGGAGACAAACCAATTGCAGATTGTAGCAAATATGTGCATGGAAACAAACCAGTTGCAGATTAGCCATCTCACCAGTATCGTAGCCAATCATCCAACCCGCCAAAACCCACTAAAACCCACCAAGCCCACCAAAACCCACCAAAACCACCACCACGCAAGCAAGCAAGCAAGCAAGCAGGCAGGCAGGCAGGCAGGCAGGCAGGCAGGCAGGCAGGCAGGCAGGCAAGCAAGCAAGCAAGCAAGCAAGCAAGCAAGCAAGCAAGCAAGCAAGCAAGCAAGCAAGCAAGCAAGCAAGCAAGGAAGCAAGCAAGCAAGCAAGCAAGCAAGCAAGCAAGCAAGCAGCCAAGCCAGAAAGCAAGCAAGAAACCCACCAAAACCCACCAAAACCCACCAAAACCCACCACGCAAGCAAGCAAGCAAGCAAGCAAGCAAGCAAGCAAGCAAGCAGGCAGGCAGGCAGGCAAGCAGGCAGGCAGGCAGGCAGGCAGGCAGGCAGGCAGGCAAGCAAGCAAGCAAGCAAGCAAGCAAGCAAGCAAGTAGCCCAGCCAGCCAGCCAGCCAGCCAGCCAGCCAGCAAGCAAGCAAGCAAGCAAGCAAGCCAGCCAGCCAGCCAGCCAGCCAGCCAGCCAGCCAGCCAGCAAGCAAGCAAGCAAGCAGCCAAGCCAGCAAGCCAACAAGCCAACAAGCCAGCCAGCAGCCAAGCCAGCAAGCCAGCCAGCAAGCAAGCAAGCAAGAAACCCACCCAAACCCACCCAAAACCCACCAAAACCCCCAAAACCCCCAACACCCACCAAAACCCATCAAACCATCACCACCTCCCAAACCACCAAACCCCGGCCCCGTGAAAAATGTCTTGCCGCCTCGTGCCGAGGTGGCCCGCCAGACCAGGCCACTGGTGGCCCCAAATCGCAGCACCTCCACGGTGCTCAGGTGCTGCAGCGCCTTCGCCCGATAAAACGCGGAATGCGAGCCAAAAAACACAGAAAACCAGAAAACGGAGTCCTGTGGGTTTCTGGAAGAAAAAACAAAAACGCAAGAACTGGGGTATCCTCAAAGGAAAAACAAAAACGACGGGCAACAAGGTTTCCATGAGTTTCCCTTCAGAGCAATCTAAAACATCCGCAATTGGTGGTTCAGATTGGTGGTTTGGATTTGGATTTGAGTCCTGGTTCTTTTGGGGGATGATGGCTCTAGGGGTACATGGTGTACCGGGAAGTCGGCTATGGCCCTAAGCCACAAAAAATGACAGTGGCACTGGCTGGCAACCCACCTTTGGCTTTGGCTCACCACTGGGGGATTTCTACAATCCAACCGGGTTTTGGCTATGGGAACCCACTCCAAGCCACCAAGCCACCAGGACTGGTTAAAGCCACTGGCAGCAACTGAGCTGGGGCGAGTAAAAAGCCGGGGCTAGTGAAGCAAAAAAACACCTCAAACCTAGGGAAGCCACACAAAAATGAATGCACTGACTGGAAACCCACCCTTTGTTTTGGTTTTGGGTCCCACCACTGGCTGAACTGTCAAGCGAAGATTTCGGGACCTATCTTGGGATGTGTTGGTTGGGATACCTGGAATGGGTCCCTAACCATGGCTATATGTCCGACTTCATTTCGGTCGCCTCGATTGGGCCAGCCCGTGTTGAACAGGGAGGCAATGCTACGCTTCCCCCTATGACTGGCACCAAGGCAACGGGGAATTTTCCACTCTGCACTTTGGACCCTAGAAAAGGCCATTCGGGAATCGGTCCAAAACTGAACCGGAGCAGCTGAGGTGTTCTTGCACAACTCGGAGTCGAAATTCATGCATGAACTAGTGAGCAACATAGCGCCAACATCCAGTGGCTTGGTGGGGCGTGGTGCCCACCGTAATTGGGTTTTTTGGCAAGCAATCCAAGTGTGGAATAAATTGAAGAATGATGTAGAAGTGTCAGCTCCAAAGCATCACACCATGTTTTGGCATCGCAGTGAAGATAAATGCTATGCCGTCATAGGCGATTAGAGGCATGTCGCTTGGAGCATTCAATCACAGCTGTGCAAACAATGCTCCGAATAGTCCCGATCAGCAGGCAGGTATTGCTGAATGCAATACATGTCTCAGCCATTAGTTTCTACTCCACTTGCCAAAAAATCTACTCGCAGCGGAACGCGCCGACACCTTTCGCACTGCCGAAGAAACCGAGCCAGGTGAAGAACTTGCTGTGCGCGGCTGCTGCTTGCAACGGGCTCGGGGATTTGAAGATGGCACCAAGTCCAAAGGGTGAAGATATTTCTAGGTCCACTCCCGAAAATGACCAAAAAACCGGCACATTTGGAAGATGGATGAATATTGAAATGAAGCCTTAGGCGGAGGTCCAACGCGGCAAAGCAATCCTGGAGCACCAAGGCTGCGCTTGTTGCACGGCCTCACCATCTTCGCCACTCTATCAAAGGAAGTTACACAGAAGCCGAACTCCCTTTTGGCGCTTTTCCTCGGAGGAAAAAGAATCCAAGCCACCGTGTTGGGACTATCAAAAGCAGATCGACCCCCATATGTGTCGTTCAAGGTTTGCCGTTTCCACTGAAATGGAAAAGGCCTCCCTTGAAACGGGTTTCTACCCTACAGGTTTCGGCCCGAAAATATCCACCGCAAACCGTGGAAGGTTGCGGCAAACCGCAAACCATGCTCATAGGGAGCCAAGCTGCCTGGAGGAATCCTTGGATCAGAAGCTTCCACGCCCATGTCACTTGAGGCCTAGGGCATCTAAGCACAAGGCTCCAACGGGGAGGGGAAGGAGAGTGATGCGAGCTCGGAGCTCGGAGTCCGCGGCGCGCGGATTTCGCGCCTGGGGCGCCACGGCCTGCAGGAGCCCACGCTGCGCCAGGCGCAGACAGCGCCGGGCCACCTGCCAAAAAATGTGTCATTGTGGGGGTCTCTTCCTTGGATGTCCCTGGTTTTTGTCTTTCCTCGTAATTAATTTGAAGGGAAACTAAGAGAAAACACTGAGCATTTCAGGAGGGACTGTTTTGAGAAGTACCCAGTTGAGTGTGGATGGTCAACATTAGCCCCAACTTGGAACCAGACCCCTGTTTTGGCCGCACTATGCACATAAATATATAGTCGATGTGTCGGAGACAAAAAAGGCATCTGTTTTTTGGTAGTTGGCTCCAGAAGAGGCTGACCCAAAATCATGTAAAGAACCAAGCGGCAGCATCTATGGCTGGGTCTGTCCCTCGCTGACATTCATTTCCGAGGGTTTGATTCTGGCTCTGTTCAAAACCCCCGGCTCTGTCAAAAACACCCTGCACATGAAAGATATCTAAGGGACCATCCCCCATACATCTACACCTGACGGGTTTCCAGTTGACCTCAGTTGATGGTGAATAGATTGACATTCCTCGTGGCAATTTGGTGGCAATGTCATCATGTTTGCTACAGTAGATGGGGGAAAATGAGAGGTAGAAAGTCTATCGGACATTGGAGGTCGCCGCAAGGGATTACGCCTCGAGAGATTTGGAGTCAAAGCCTTGCAAAATAAGAGTCGGTCCCCTTCTTTGGATGCTTGTTACGGGAAACCCCCCCAAAAAAAAAACGCCCCTAATTCTGCGAAGCCCCGATGGTGCCGCTCCCAAACAGAATGAGATGTCAACAGCGCCAGTGCACTTTTTGCGCGGGTGTGGCTTTGCCCTCGTACAGGCGTGCAGGTTCCATGTCACCTTGCATAACTTGGATAGGCAACACGATGTGGCTGTGGGTCAAAAATGGGTACCCAAAACGGAACCCTGGTAAATGGAACCAAGGACTAAAACCTGCGGTCCCCTGGTGGTTAAATTTTGACCCATACCCATGTCAATCTGAGATGAATTCTTGTTCTCAACAAGTTGCGTCTCATGTCCGCGGGGCGGAATTCGGACTTGGATAATTTGCGCCAGCAGATCAGCTCCGAGACCGCAAAGCCATGCTGAGGTGGAACCAGAATAGCCATTGCCGGAAGAATTACCGCTACTCTCTAACCATAGTGCACAAATAACACCAATGGGATCCCATTTTGGGGGGTTTCATTCCAATGTTTCTCAGGTGGTGCAGGATTTCGTCCATCCACAGCATGTGTCTCGTATGTGTGCACAAATGGGCAAAGAGTTGGGAGTCGCTACTTTATTGCTATGTAAATGGTGATACGCACTATGTGTAGCTGTACACCGCTGTTTGCCATCAGAATGTCTGGTTGTTTTCTAACCATACTTGTGCATGAGTGCACAAATGGGCAAAAAGTCACATGGGTGTGGGTCAAAAATAGGTACCCAAGATGGAACCCTGGTAAACAAAAACAAAGACTGAAACCTGCGGTCCCCTGGTGGCTTAATTTTGACCCACAGCCACATGCCTGCCTGAATCACTGTCCACTTTTCCCAAACCCAAAAATCGGATCGCGGGCCTCCAGTGACATCCGGGTGCTCTCCAATGACCAGCCCTGGGCTTTATCCAGGCCGGCAAGAAGGGAAACCCATTCGGCACAGTCTTCATGACTGGAACAGCACAAGCTGCCAAGCCCCTGTTAATCCATGCGGCAAGTGGAAATCCGATCCAGCTGGATGCAACGATCCGCCTTCTCAGTGCCTGTGAGGCCAACAAAAATCAATGCGCCGGGTGTGAGAAATAAGGAGAAAAAAAAACCTTTCAAACTGGTCACGTGCCCTTGGCAAAAGACTGCGGGTCCCGTAATAGTGCTTTCCGGGCACTGCTTCGTCTAAAGCTCAAGTCAGACGACATTTGATCAAGAAGTCCTTGGTACTCGTTCGCCGAAAAGGAACACACGCGGCCAAGGAACCAGTAAGCACATGATCCTTGCAAACACATCACAAGGATTCCACGGGAGAATGCATCAACACCGGGTAGCCTTCCCAACGGTTGGTGTCAGAATGGCGTTCTCTAAAAAATGTCTGCCCCACTTGCAAACGGGGTCGTTGGATGTTTTATTCGCACGTCAACTAAAGCGGAATTTTGCCAAAGTACCCCAATTGCCCCCTCAGCTGCCCAAAGGACCTGGAACTAAAAGGTTAACCTTTTGGGGCCATGACTATGGACCAAAATGGGAAAACCGAAAAGTCACAACTTCTATTGACCTGACGTGTTGCTCGATCCTAACCAACTCAGGGCTCGGCCTTCTCCGAGACGCCTGCGCCGCTCGGAAAGGCTTTCCGCGCGGAAAAGGACCCGCGCTGATTTCGCGGGTGAAGCAGAGAGGTTAGAATACGGGTACCCGATTTTTTTTTTCGGTAGTCTGTTTTAGTAGGGGAAGCCTCCCGACCAACAAGGGTAAAAGGGCAATAGTGGGGGACCGAGTTCATGTACCAAAATGGCACCAAAAAGCAAATGAAACCAAAGACAAACACCTGCGTAACCCTAGCTCTTCAATTTTGAGCCACACCCATTTGGCTGTGGGTCAAAACCAATGGGATCCCATTTTGGGGTAGGTGTTTTCGGTGCACCACCCATTTTAGAACCTATTTTAGTGGCTGGATTGGGATATTCACTGGGGGGTAACCGAGGTTTTGAGCAACACCAATTTGTTGCTCGTGCCAATCAAAGAGCTCAGGGCAACGTCCAGGCCCCAGGCTGGGCGCGCTGGGCGGGGACGCGCTCGGCCTGGCCACATGTCGCAGAGCAGGGAAAAAAGAGTCAAGATCGCCCGCGTTTTGTAGGTTACAGGAAAACAAACCTCCACTTTCTGACTGTAACCCCCTGAGACACACTCTCCAGTGAAAATTAGCTTCTGGCTCAAGCCATGGCACAGGATGGATTTCAGTCCACAGATTGATCGACAACGTACAAAGGATCTGAGTGACCTGCATTTCAGCCGGGGGACACTGTTTTGTGCTTGCTGCGGTTGGTTACTCCTTTCGGGCTCGCTATTCTTTGCAGCGGGGCTCGACAGATCCACAAGACATGGAAATGGCAACGCATTCGGCGCCCCAAAGACGTCGGGCCCCCGCAGATCGATCCGCAACCCCGCCTGCACCGCTGAGCCTGTCAGAGAGAGAGAGAGAGAAGAGGCCGAGACAATTTACTTTTTTGGGGTTGTTTCACCTATGTGGGTCCTATTTGAGACAAGCCCAAATTTGAATTGGCCTTGAACCCTACCCGCAAACAATACCAGTCGCCACAGCTTGGAAGATCGGTTGATCCACATGTTCATCATCCACTGTTGGTGGGCGAGACGAGGGTCCGCAATATGCAATTAGAATACGGCTTCATACCTCTCCAAGCAGCGATTCAACATGCTATCGAGCAGAACAAACATGGCTTCCCACATTAACCAATGAAACAAATGGGTCAAGAAGCTGCAAACTCAAAGCCTGATGTCAATTGTGAACTCGGCATCTTGCAAAGGGCCGCACGGCAAAAATGAATTTGGCAGATTCTCAAAAATATTGAGATATTCAACAAAATCCCCAGCACTCTGCGGACGGATCATCTGATTGCCCTCAGTTTGCACCTCAAACAAAATGATTTGCTCGGTAGTTTTAGCTCGTAGCCCACATGTGCAGTTATGCGTATATTAACCCCCGATGGATCTACCTCTTTTGCTGTTCGCAGACGATTTTGGAGATGAATTGCAGTTGTTTTATTTGG